AATGTTTATTTAATGCTATACAGACTTAAAGTAGTGACCTAATATCTTCACCAAAATCCCAAAGTCCCTTAAAACACCCACAAACAGACACAGTCCTTCTTTCCTTTCCCCCTTTGCACAGTCCAGAGTACCATATCTCAGGAAAGGAAATAGAAGTCCATGGCTCAGGCAGTCCTCTGGTTATTCCCAGTTAGTACTCGATCTTGATTGATGGGACCTCCCTGGGTTCCCAGCACGTTCAGCTGAGTCGCCAGGATCTCTACTAAAACCAGGCGGTGGTTCCCCCTTCTAAAGCTGCGGGGGTCCCCACTCTGGCGAAGGCACATGGTCCTCTCTCCCAGCGCCACAGGAGTCCCCACTCTGCCAGAGCCACAGGATTCTCCCTCTCAGGGCTGCGGTAGTCTCCATTCTGTCAAGGCCCCGTGGTTCTCTCCCTCAGGGCCGCGGGAGTCTTCACTCTGCTAAAGCTGTGTGGCTCTCTCCCTCTCAATGGCTGTGATCCTCTGCACTTCCACAGCTGCATGGATCTCCCTCTCAAAAGGCTGCCGCACCTGGGTTTAAATCCCTGTGCCAGTCTTCCTCTGCAGCCCCATTTCCGACTCCTCCTACACTTGGCTTCACATGCCAGAACTCATATCCTTCCAGCTTTACTGGATATCATCATAAGTCTGGGCAGGTGTGGCCCCATGTCCTGGAGCCAATCTTCTCCACGGTCCCACGCAGGCGCTGTAACTTGGGGGACCTGCCCCCAGTCACATCTTGGTGGGGAAGTTACTTCCATTCCCCTGGCTCAGAGCATGGCCACAGCTACTTAACATATCTAAGCGACCAGCCAAGGGCTATAGATATGTTAAATGACCACACCAGAGGTTAGCTGTGAGGCTGTTGCTATGCAAAACAGCTCTCAATGGCCCTGTTCCATTTGTCCCTTCCCCCAGCACACACCTGGGGAGTGGGAGTGAGGACATTCAAAAATCCCCTGGACACCTTGAGTCCTGGACCCCATTTCAAATGCATATTTGGGGACCCCCCTCTTGGCTGCACCCTGTAACAATAACACACGTGTTCAGTTACTTCCCAGGAATTAATTCTCCAGGAGAGTGAAGCTGTGAACACCGTAGAATGAAACACCTTTATTAGCAGATTAAAATGTATCTTTTACATTTTCTGTAATAAGAGGTCAATAGTTGAAACACTAAGGTTGACAAAACAATGTCAATATTTTAACTGGTTTGGTAATATTTTATTTATTTTTATCATTTTTTATTGTTCATATTCAGGTGTCTGCATTTTGCCACCACCATTTTCCCCACCCCACCAACCCCCTCTTCCCACCCACAATCCTATCCCCTTTGGCTTTGTCTATGGGTCTTTTACTTGTGTTCCTTGAAGACCATTTCCCTTTTTCTTACCCTCTTATCCCACATTACCTCTCTGGTCCTTCTCCTCTGGTTACTGTCAGTTTGTTCTTTATTTCAAAGTCCCTGGTGATATTTTGCTTGCATGTTTGTTTTGTTGATTAGGTTCCACTTATAGGTGAGACCATATGGTGTTTGTCTTTCACACGCTGTCTTGTTTCACTTAGCATTCCATCCATGATGTTGTGAAGGGTAGGAGCTCCTTCTTTCTTTCTGCTCTGTAGTATTCCACGGGGTAAATGTACCACAGCTTTTTGAGTAAACTGAAGATGGATACAAGACTTCAATATATGTGATACTATAAAAGTCGTACAGGAAAACAATGACAGGTAAATCTCATAAATTCCACACAGTGACATTTTCACTGATATGTCCCCTAGAGCATGGAACATACAGAAAATAATCAAATGGGATCTCATCAATATAAAAAGCTCTTGTGTGGTTAAAAAAAATTAGTAAAATGAAAAGGGAACCAACTGTATGGGGAAACATATTTGCCAATGACATCTCAAATATGTTTTTTTTCTCCAGAATATATAAAGAGCTCACAGGACTCCACTCCAGGAAGACAAGAGACCCAGTTAAAAAGTGGGCAAAGGACCTGAACAACCACTTCTCCAAGGAGGACATACAGAGGGTCCCAGAGACATATGAAAGGATGCTCAGCATCACTAGCCATCAGAGAGATATTTCTTAATAAATTAGGTACTCAATAAGTTTAATTTATGACTAGATGTACTAGAACTGAGCTTTCAGTTTCAGTCTTATCCCGGACCTGACAAGAATAAGGAGTGACTTTTCATTCATAGAGTTCATGGTCTGAGGGACACCTGCCTGTTGTTTCTGAAGCCATCTGTCTAGGTCATGATGCTCTGGGGAACAAGGGAAACATCCTGTGCTGAAAGGAAGAGGAAACTCCAGAATCTCATGTTGCTTTCATCTCAGAGGGACTGAGATTTCTACAATAAGCTTTCTTCCCTTAACAGAACCCACAAGATCCCTGGTTGAATATTCAACTGGAGATGACCCAAACCCTGGGCCTTGTAGGCAGACAGAGATATAGATATGACTTATATGCAACATCTCAATGTAGTGATGGTAGACACACAGGACATTTTGAAGATCAGCCTTCCAGGCAAGGCCCTCCTCCAAAAGTCTCAGAAGAATCTTCACCAGGCCCATCCTTTGAACATTTGAAAGCACAGTGCTCTCTCTGAAACATTATATCTCCCTGGTGGTACAGTTCTCCTGCCACTGGACTCATAATATTTGGGACAATGCCTTCCTTTTCACAGGGCTCATCCTGCACTGGTCAACAACCTGTGCATCACCTGATATTGGCTACAAGTCTACCTCTGTCCTCCAGGGAGCAACATTGAAACACACATGAAATAGATACATGACAATGGCTTTGGCTAAGAAGATGGAGGAGGTTGATTTTCATCCCCTTCTTCAACAGACCTTTCTTGGGCCCTCCCTCCTGCCTGCTCTGTCCAGCATGCTACTTTTCGAGATTGTTAACAAAAGGGGCTGTGTAGCAACCCTCACAAGCTCAGGGAGCCACATGGCAGGCCTTCCAATCATCACATTATAATCTGATCTGAAGTTTCTAACTGGGCAGGTGATGGTAGATTGCCACATTCCAGGCTTTCATTTTCCTTAGCACAAGTCAGTCTTTATCTTCAATGAGTCCTGATATCTTTTTTTTTCTTTTCCTCTTGCATAGTATAACTTTGACAAATCAGAGGGATTTTCTTTGCTGAGCCCTTCAAAAGTATAGAGTCTGGGACAGGTACATGAGAACACAGACTCTTTATGTTATCTAGTACCCCACACACTTTCTCTGTGTCCTGTATATGTGAATTAGCCTGTACCCAACAATGAAAAAAAAATATATTATATATAATATTATATATAAATATTATATATATTATATATATAAATATTATATATATATATATAATATATTTCTCCATTTGCATTTTAACCAATTCTAGAAATTTCTTTGCTATATTTTCTATCACCTCCTAATAGGTTTTATGCATCCTTGTTCACCTTCTACTTTTATTAAAATGTATAAAATAAGCTACAACACTGCCTTCACAGGATTTGAGACCTCAATCCCAGACATATGAGGTCAGTTTGGCTCAGATAAACTCATTAAATTGATCTATAGGTTTGGACATTTTTTATTTTGACAAGGCTTTAGAGCACCGCCTCCCTCATGGGGTCCTGTGGTGCTCTTTTTCTCATGAATGGCATCACCCGTGGAAGGGAAGATGACCACAGGAAAGCCACCCAAGTAGAAATCAGAAGTTCTTCCAACAGCCAGGCAGCACAAGGACAGGTCCAACAAATAGACAAGGAGATGGATCCTCTCCATGAAGCTGTCCCCTAGAAATCAGAAGGACCATAGGAATTGAACTTTCCCCACAGTCCTTTCTTCTTGGGATATGCAGGAAATGTCCCACTTCACACCCCAAAACTGCAGATCCTACTGAGACTCCTGGATTTGTGTGTTTGTCCTGGGAAGGAAAAGCCAGACTGGTGACTACTTGACATAAAAGAAGGGTCCCCTCTTCAATTATCACCAAGTTTGACATCTCCGCACATTGAGATCATCTTGTGACCATTGTGCTGGGAGGAAATAAAACTTCACAGCATTGAGAACATGGAGAGGACTCAGTGCCCTGCTTGGTTTCTGTGTCACAAAAAGAAATAATCCAGGTTTTTTAAGACACCTGTGGCTCTCTGAGTGGGGCTGACAGTCCCAAGACCAAGTCTCAGCAGTGCCCAATGTTGGCCTTAGTGTATCATCCTCTCAGGGATCCATGTGCCCACATCAGCCTTGCTATTGCAAGTATACCCTATAGGCCAGTTGGATCAACCTCTCCTGACAGCTTGTCAGATGTATCTTACCAACTGAACCTCAGAATCTGTAGTACAACTGGATCTGGAGACTTCCCTTGTGCACAGGAGAACAGGAGAAGTAGTTTTACTTTCATATCAAGCCATGACAATTTGAATGGGTACCCACATTGCCTGGATAGCTGCTGGACCAGGATTTTTAAGATTTCTCCTGGAAATAGAGATGTTGAAGTTTCAGAGCGGATCTGGGGCACACAAGGGGTAACATCATTATGACAGCTTTTTCAGAGTTAGCACTAGAACACCTGATCTGAAGAAAAAAGTGGAATGTGAAACAGAGAGGGCTGTGGGGGAGGGTACTGTACACCTGACAGGGAACTGTGGGGAATGCCTGAAAGCCAGATACCCCAGGCTTTTGCTTTTCATAACACAGCATGGGAGTGTGTGTCTGTGTATGTGTGGCATAGAGAGGCATTAGATGTTCTCAGGGAACGAAAGTGTAGGGGGACAGTACTGGTTAAAAGGTACAAGGATGGCAAAAATAAGGGCTGGGAGAGGGAGGGTAATGTGCACAAATCCCGCCCCCATTCCACATGACAAAAATAGTAACATGCCGCAGTATAAAGCTGAGTGCACATATAGGACACACAGCAGATTGCACCATTCTGAACAGAGGTGCCTGTGAGCCTTACACAACCTCAAGTTTCTCTCAAAGAGGCAGCCACAGAAGAGACAACATACACCATGGGGTTTCTTTCAATCTTTACCCACAGAGGATTTATCCACTGTCAAGGGCTCCTGCTGGTTGGTAAGTAGGATACAATTCCTTAGGGTAGACTAAGGATCTGACACAGAGACTGACTGGAATCTGCTGAAGAGACCAGTGCTCTGAGAAAAGAGGGAAGGCTTCTAATTGGACCTGATGCTAAAGGAAAAAGGAGAAAAATTGGATCGGGAAGGGGTCTCAGCTAGAGTAAAATCTCATAACCTGGAAATGGTCAGAGGCAGGAAATCCTCATTTGCTGTGCATTTCCTGTTATTTGTCATTCTGATATTATCAGAAAGTACCAGAAAGATTTAACAAGTAGTGTTACACATTGTCTTTATCACCAAACTTTGCAATGGGCCAAAAGAACCTAGGATGTAGAGGACACTGGATCACACATTCACTCAACCCCATGTATTTCCAGGCTGTGGCAGTCACTGGATGTACAGGATAAGACAAGCCCTGTTCTCATTGAGGCCATATGAGGGACAAGAAAGGATCTAGAAATGATGCCAGGTACTCAATATAGCCATAAAAAAAGAGAGTAGGGGCAGGTAAAAAAGTGAAGGCATAGGATCTTTAGATAAGGTAGTCAGCAAAGGTGGCCTTCAAAAGTGTCCCTGAGAAACAGATGGAATCTGAGCACAGTGGAGGGGTGAACAAGACAAACAGCTGGAGAAGAGTATTTGATACCATAAAAATTAAAGTTTGAGAGGTGCTTAAGTAAAGGCAGCCCTGTATCTGACCTTGACTTGAGAGAAACAAAGTTATGTGCAGACCAAGGCTGAGACACAAACAGACCTGCTCAGGATTCTGGGCCTCATCTTTCCATCCAAAAACAGATACTAATAATTATGTTGTTTTTTCTTATTTCCTAGTCTCACTCCTCAACTCCTGGAGCCAGCCCAGCACAGCCCGAATGACAGTTGAGTCGGTTGATGCTCTCGAAAGGACAGATGTGATTCTACATATCCGCCATAGGCCTCGCAATGCAGAATACTTCCTGTGGTACAGAGGAACAACCATTGACTTCCGTAATAATATTGCATATCTTTCAGTAAAATCTGGCAGGCATGTAAGAGGTCCTCCAGGTGGACAAGGGAGAGTAGAGGATGATGGGTCGTTGTTATTAAAGAATGTCTCCGTGGAAGACTCAGGAATCTACATCGTAATGGTCCAACTTCAAGGCTGCCAAAAAATGATAGCATGTGGACACCTTACAGTATATCGTGAGTGATTGCTCTCTGACTTGTGGGTGTCAGGTGGGGTAAATTCAACTTCACACACTGGACTGATATACTCGGGACACTAGTACCATTCTCCTTGGCATTTTGATTCAGGGTGGACTTTAGCGCTTAATGCAGGATACACAAAGAATGCAGACCAACTTTCTAAGCCCTCAGTTTCCTTCTCGTATTTCAGTCTTGCAGACAGTCAATATAGACAGAAGGATCAGTTTGATGGGAGTAAGTCATGAGAGGTAGACCAGACTAATTGGAGCTTCCTGAGCACCTGACTATTCACTTGACGTAGAGAATGACTCTGTTGTACTTCATCAGAGCACAGTCTGAGGGGCCCCCTGAAATTCTCACATAGCTCAGCTCAGAAACCCCTCCCAAGAACCCTATCCCAGGAATCTTTACTCCAAGAACCCTGGTGAGCAGGTGCTAAGTTGGGTTTGGCCACCTTAGAAGGTCTGATTCTGTAACAGTTTAATGGGTGCTCAACTCACAAGGATCCTGAGATAGTCACCAGTCAGGGCTCCTGACCAAGAAATGCATCTTGTCAGAAATAGAATTTGGTCTATCATCACCTGAATTCCATATGATGAGCACAGTTATACAATGTGCTTGTAAATAGCTGGCTATCTTTGAGGTCTCGGGAAATTTCAGAAGAAGGTCAGCATCCCCTAAAAGAAACTGAGAAAAAGAGATGCTCCTGGAAGCTCCTCATTGACCTTCATCAGCCAGGGGTTCTCTCATGTAGTTGGTCAATAACAGATGCCACTTTTGAGCAGCTCTTCTATTTCAAGATTAGGTCAGATCCTCTAAATATTTTACAGTCATTACAATGACACCCTGACAGTCAAATATTCATTGAGAAGAAATGGAGAAACAGGGAGATACAGTCACTAAAGGAGAGTCACACAAATCGTGAGCAGGTCATCAGGGTCAGTAGAGTTCTGTTGGTAGCCACAGACTTAATTTCTCTACCTGTGGGGCCATATGAGAGAGTCTTGAGATTCCTAAACCAACAAAGTGGTTCAGATCCTTTTCTCATAGGTGTCTTCAGTCACAGGAATACATTTTCGTCTGTGAAGGAGAAAAAATGGAGTCAATCTATTTTACTTTAGAAAAACATTATCTTCAGTAACAATCAGAATCACTGCATAGACTGACCAGGCATCCCCCTCAAGTGGTCCATCAACACCTCCCTGCACTGGACTTGACATCACTTATTTCTTTGCTGTCCTGGTGCAGTCTCTCCCAGCAGATGTAAAGGAAAAGGCTTTTCTTTCATATTCTCCACTCTACCCCTGAAACCAGCTCAGGATGAACCTTTAACAAGCACTCACTTGCTTTTGATGAATTAGGAGGAAATAAATGGTGATTGAAAGGAGAAATGAATGAATGATCCAAAATCTCTTCAGAGCCTGGAGCCTGGATGCAGAGTCCTTGGAATCCTCAACATGGGAACAGTCTTTCGTGGTCCCAGGAACTAAGACCATCATCTCAGATCCTTTTCTTTTCTCAGTTCAAAGAGGCCATGCTATTTGTCTTGGGCCCTGGGATATTAATAATTTTCACGTACTAAGAATTTTCCTTTTTTTTTCAAATTTCTGTCTCATAGCCACTTAATACGAATTGCCCACAAGTGCCAGAATTTCAAAAAGTCCATGCTGCCTACTTGCTCTAAGACACTGGTTTTGCATTTGCACAAGTCCTCACCTGCCCTCAGGAGAGAGAGTGGCTTTAATGGTCAAGGGCAGAGCACATGATTCTGCTGCCAGTATCAGCTTCTGCCTCTTTTTTCCTTTTTGCTAAATCATTTCTTGGACCATGCTCTATCATTTATTGCGTCACTGGCTCATTTCAGTCACTTTTACCTGGAAAGACTTGACCTACCTCTTAGCCCAGGGCCTGAGTAGACAACTTATAACTGGCTTGCTTCTGGTTTCCATGTGTTATTTCTGCTCAAACCTCACCCAGTGTCTAGGATGTCCTGGGAAATAGAGTTTCATAGAAACATACCTCAGCTGGGCAATAGATGTCTGTGCCCCTGGAAGGAATGGCTTCTGGTCAGACAGGCACTCAGGTGGTCAGTGAAGAACCAGGAGAATTGCAGTGGTGTCTCTGAATCCCTGTCTTTTGCCTTTCCTTAACCATATCTGATACTTAACTGACACCTGAGAAAGTCTGCAGTTTCACCCAGAGATATAGCTGCAAGACATGCATCCTCTGAGTGCTCTGATTTCCAAATATGTTCTTGTGATATGCTGCCCTGCTTTGTCAGTTCTAAGACACAAGTTGTCTAAGAGGTGCGAGGTAACAACTGTGGTTTAAGAAGCTTTTGGAGATATCAAAGATACCACACAGGGCATTTTTTTTCTCTTTCCTGCAGAGCAGAGTTAAGCACAACCAAGATCTCAAGGAACTAATTCAACCTTGAGAGTTTTAATTTTCATTTTTGTACACAATAGTGACGTTGAGCATCTTTTTCTTTAACTATGTGCCCTTTGTATATTTTCTTTGGAGAAATTTTTATTCAAGGGTTTTGTTCCATTTTGAAATCAGATTATTTGGTTTTGTGGTTGTTGTTGAGCATGGATTTTTTTGTATATTTTTTAGAGATTTATATTTTTCAGAGATTAACTTTTTATTTTTCATATGATTTTCAAAAAATCTTCTTATATTTCATGGGTCACCTTTCAATGTTTTATGTCTTTTTTGATGAAGAGACATTTTCATTTTGAGAATATCCAAATTGTCTATTTATTTGCCTGTCTTCTTAGAATCGCATTCATAAAATCATTGTCAAATTCAATGTCATAATGCTTCTCTCAATTCTTTTTATAAGCATTTTAAAGGATTAAGTCTATCCTTTAGAACTTGATATAATTTTGGTTAGTTTTGATATTATTATAAAATTAATTTTGATATATTTTTTACTTAATTGTGTATAGTATCAGACAGGATTCCACATCATTAATTTTCATGTGGATATTGCTGTTCAACAGCATTCATTGTAAAGACTGTATTTTCTCCATGAAATCCTGGCCATTGCTCTTTTTAAAATTAATTATTTTTTTATTGTTTTCCAAGTACGTCTCTCTCTATTTTCCTGCCACCAATTTTCCCCACCCCACCCACCACCACCTCCAACTCACAATCCTTCCCCTCTTTGGATTTGTCCATGTGGCCTTTATAAATGTTCCTGGATGATGCTTTCTCCCTTTTTTACCCTGTTATTCCCCTCTTCCCTCCTCTCTGGTTACTGTCAGTTTGTTCTTTATTTCAGTGTCTCTGGGTATATTTTCCCTGAGGTACTGTGGGGACAGAGAGGAGTGGTAGCTCTTTCCATGATATTGTCACCTGAACTTAGACAATTGTCCTCCAATTGCCTGGACCACACTCTGATGACCTTTACATAATTCACTGTGGCCTGTGAGGGGCTGATATCTCTGAGGAAGCCATGTGGCTACATGTCTGAAGCCCATTTTCAATGAGTCCCTTTCTCTGCTTCTCCACAGCGCTTGTGAGTGTGCCCACCCTCCAAGCTAGCAAAACCACCGTCACAGCGAAAAAGGATGCTGTGGTCTTCACCTGTCACACAAACTATGATGCCATCCAGTGGTTATTCAAAGGCATAAGTCTGCCACTCTCGGACAGAATGCAGCTGTCAGTTGACCGCAGAAACCTCACTATAGACCCTGTTCTGATAAGGGATGCTGGTGATTACCAGTGTAAAGCCTACAACCCCAGGAGTTCTGGTAAGAGTGCTCCACTTAAGCTGGATGTGAAATTTGCGTGACTCCCCGTTTCTTCCTCTATGTTGTTAAACTCTAAATAAAGTAGCTTTTTGCAGTGTCATAATTGATTCATTCTGAGGGTGAATAGTTCGTAAACATTGGCATTGAGTCGATAAATACTAGGAAAATGTGAGCAGATATTGTCAATATGGTTGACTTAAGGTCACATTCCAGACCAAACCCCACTTTTGTTTGCTTTCATGTGTACCATGTCCACCGTGGAGGGGTCATCGAGACACTCTTTCCTTCAGGGGATGAGCAGTATTTGTGGGATAACAAATGAGAGAAGGTAAAGAGCTTAGAGAATCTGAGCTCTGTGTCTTGTCCCTGAACACATGTGGAGGGCACCTGTTATAGACATTGGGAATGGACAAGAGGACAACAATGTGAGTGGCAACACTGATTTTTGTGTTTCTATTTGATGTCTTTCAAAAGATTTCTAAGGTCTCTTGAGTATTCTTCCTTCTATGCCAATAAAGTTATTTGTGTGAGTTCAGTACACTTCTGTTCTATTTTTAATGAGGTATAATTGGAAACTTTGGTAATAAAACCAAGGCTTTAGTTCAAATGTTCTAGTTCAGACAGATACCCATGAATTTGAATTGACCTCATACTTTACAGAGCTAAGCTTGACATTTTCAGACTTTTGGTACCTCTTGCAGAAAAGACATCACCCAAAGTGAGTGAAACTGGAGGTGAAGCGTTTGGGTAAAGCTTCCTAACTTCAAGAGGCTGTTGAAACTCCCATCATATTCTTCATGGAAAACCCTCATCAGAGGAAACTATGTGGTGAATGTCAGTTCCTCTGCACCTAGGTAACTAACTAATCAGGCTAGATCAGGTGACACCACCCATGTTGTAAGGTCAAGAACACACTTCTCCCTTAGTGATTAATTTTGATGAATGGCAAAGGGATCATACAGATAAATATATTGTCTGAATGGAAATCTCCAGAAGCACAGCCTTCTGGGAGATCAGGTTCTGGCTCTGTTCAGGGAGTCTCAGTTATTTTGCACCTCTTTATAAATTTCAGGAACTCATGCAGATGCAAATTATTTCTTGGCTGCAAGAGATGTAGTTGTGTTTCCCTCCACTGTGCAAACAGCAGTTTGGTTATGACCCAGAGGCCTTAAGGTGCCCTCAGAGTTGTTAACCTTCAGACAGGTTTTTCCTGATTGCAGGCCCCTGACCTCCATATTTTAGAGTTCTCTTTAGAAATGTAATTGTAATTTGTAATTACAGAATTTTTTGATACTTGTAATACACAAGAGTCTCCTTAAAATTACCTTGCTAGTGTTATGATTCAGACAGTATCCATCAAAGGGGCCTGTGCCCATCTCGTAAAATATAATCATCCCGGTGCCCCTGTGTCTCAATTACTGTGGGACTTAGAAGCATAACTTGGGTGAAGATCTGTAAAACCATGATGTAAGAGGTTCTTCTGTGAAGATTGAACAATAGTTTTACATTTATTTTTTTCTTTTAATTGGAGGCTCAGTTTGTTTAAAATAACTTTAACTAAAGACATGTTTGTGTTTAAAGATTCTTTCATATTGTTTTTATTTTTCAAGAACAGTTGTCTCACCCTGGCTGGTGTAGCTCAGTGGACTGAGCTCGGGCTGCGAACCAAAGTGTCGCAGGTTCAATTCCCAGTCAGGGCACATGCATGGGTTGCAGGCCACAGCCCCCAGCAACTGCACATTGATGTTTCTCTCTCTCTCTTTTCCTCCCTCCCTTCCTTCTCTAAAAATAAATAAATAAAATCTTTAAAAAAGAGAACAGTTGTCTCCATTTTCCTATCGCCACTCCACCCAGCTGACACATATCTCTTCTTCCACCCTCGATCTTATACTTCTTTGTCTTTGTCCATGTGTCCTTCATACATGTTCCTTGATGACACTTCATATTTTCTTCCCATTATCCCCCTCTCCCCTGCCCTCTGGTTATTGTCTGTTTGATCTTTATTTTAGCATCTCTGGTTATATTTTGCTCACTTGTTTGTTTTGTTGATTAGCTTCCACTTATAGGTGACATCATATGGTATTTGTCTCTCACAGCCCAGTTTATTTCACTTAGCAAAATGTTCTCCATTTCCATCCATGCTATCGTGAAGGGTAGGGGCTCCTTCTTATTTCTGCTGCATAGTACCCCATTCTTTTAGAAATCTTTGGTAGTTTCCAGTATATTCATCTTCCACCTGCTTGGTTAAGCTTATTCCAAAGTATTCTAGTCTTTCTAATGATATTAAAAATGGAACTGTATTCTAAAGTCAATTTTGAGATATTTATTGTCCATGCAAAGAAGTGAAATGAGCCCATTTTCCTCAGCAACTGCACGGAATTTATTAGTTTTAACATGATTTGGGGGTGTGGGATGAAATCTTTAGTTTTCTACATGTAACATTATGTTGTCTGTTAAAATAGATCATTTTCTTTTTCACTATAACATTTTGATAACTTTATTTTATCTTCCTGGCTGTTTTTTTCAACCAAACTTCCAGTACAATGTTGAATAAGTGGGGAGAGAAGCATTTTTTTATATATATGGTTCATGATCTTAGTAACATTTTTGGTGTTTCTCCTTATAGTATTGTGCTAGCTGTAGGCTTCCAAGCATGTCATTAAACATATAAAGTGGTTTCCTTCTACATCTACAGTCATTTTCTTTTATGAAAGCTATAATCACTTGTCTCTAGAGATTTTACTTGATGGTGATATTTAGTTTGTAGGCCAAGAAAGTAAAGTCTCGTGTGATTGAGAAATTATTTAGATGAAACTTCTCAAAATCCAAGATTATGAATATTGGGTTGGTTCATCTTTCTTTCCTCATAAATTATTTAATGAGAGGTAATTGTCTTTTCAGTTACAGTGAAGTTTCATTGGCTCCAGATACTTATAAAGGTGGTAAGCCTGCCCTCTTTGACATTTATGGAAATTTATATGAGGAGTATGACTTGCACATTTTTGAAGTCTAAGAAACTTCTATGAGACTTCCGGCTAAGATGGAGGTGTAGTTAAACACTCTGTGCCTCCTCACATAACCAAGATAGGGACAACAATAATTTAGAAATAGAATGACAACGATAACTGACAGAAAATCGAACTGTCTGGAAGTTGGACAATGAAGAAGTTAAAGTAGACACATTCATCCAGACTAGTAGGAGGGGCGAAGGGGCAGAGTTTTGCAGCCAGGCAGAGAGGGGTCATGGAACAAAGAGTGTTGGGATGGTGTAAGGCATCATGGGTGTGCAAGACCACAGCAGGCTGTCCCTTGGTGTGCAAGCAATGGCTGGTAGACCCTGGCCTAGGGGTGGCAATCAGCAGACCCAGCAAGGTGGCAATTGTGTAGCAAGGCACTGTGTGCAAGGTGTCTGGCTGACTGGGCAGTCCCATGGTCTGAAGGCCAGGAAACAGAGCCTCGGGGCACTGATTGAAAACACTTGTGCGGGTGAGGTGCAGGGAGAGATTCCAAGCCTCAAAGGATAAGTCATTGGAAAGACCCATGGGGTGCACAAGCCCACCCACATGGGTGTTAGCACCAGAAAGGCCCAGTTTGCTTGGGGGAAGTGACAGAAGGGACTGAAGCCTGATGGAGAGTGGAACAAGCACCATTGTTCCCTCTCAGACACCACCCCCAATACAGCATTACAACCCAGCAACTGGGTTGCTGCACCCTGGTGAAGACCTAAGGCTCCACCTCTCATTATCTTGTTGCACCATCAACAGGTGCGACAAGACAAAAAGAAAGGTGGTTCAAACAGAACAAATAAAAGCATCAGAACCAATACTTTTAAGCGATGGAGAGATAGCTACCCTATCAGATGCACAGTTCAAAAACACTGGTGATCAGGATGCTCACAGAATTGGTTGAATTTGGTCACAAATTAGATGAAAAGATGAAGGGTGCAATAAGTGAAATGAAGAAAAATGCACAGGGAAACAATAGTAATGTAAAGAAAGGTGGGTCTCACATCAATGGACTGGACCAAAAGGAAGAAAACAGCATATAATCAGAAAAGAATGAAGAAATAAGAATTCAGAAAATGAGGAGAGGCTTGGGAACCTCCAGGACATCTTTAAACATTCCAACATCTGAATTATAAAGGTAACATAAGGAGAAGAGGAAGAGCAACAAGTGGAAAACTTATTCGAACAAATAAAAAAGGAGAACTTCCCCAATCTGGAAAAGGAAATAGACTTCCAGGAAGTCCAGGAAGCTCAGAGAGTTCTAAGGAAGTTGGACTCAAGGAGGAACAAAACAAGGCACTTCATAATTACATTAGCCAAGGTAAAAATGAAGGAGAGAATCCTACAAGCAGCAAGAGATAAAGAGACAGTCACCTACAAAGGGGTTCCCATCAGACTGTCAGATAATTTATCAAGAGACCTTACAGGTAAGAAGGGGCTGGAAATAAGTATTCCAAATCATGAAAGACAAGGACCTACATTCAGCAAACCTTTCAGTTAGAATGGAAGGGCAGATGAAGGGCTTTTCAGATAAGGTAAAGTTAAAGGAGTTCATCATTGCCAAGCCCTTATTTTATGAAATGTTAAAGGGATTTATATAAGAAAGAAGATAAGAAAAAGAAAATAAAAAAAAAACATGTATGCTAAAATGACAGCAAACTCACAGTTAACAACTATACCTAAAACAAAACACAAGGAAACCAAGCAAACAACTAGAACAGGAACAGAACCACAGAAATGGAGAACATATGGAGGGTTAGCAACAGGGGAGTGGGAGGAGGAAAGAGGGGGAAAAGGTATGGAGAATAAGTAGCATAGATGGTAGGTAGAAAATAGACAGGGGGAGGGCAAGAATAGTATGAGAAATGTAGAAGCTAAAGAACATATGACACATGAACATGAACTAAAGGGGGGATGTGGGTAGGAGAGGGTGTGCAGGGTGGAGGGGAATGAAGGAGGGTAATGGGATAACTGTAATAGCACAATTAATAAGATATATTAAAAAAGAAAGAAACTTCTGGGAAAGAATGAATAAA